GGTAGCGTTAGCGGGCTAATTAGTGCGCAGCACTGTTGTGAGTTAGCAGCATGGCGACTTCACCGTTAATGAGCCGCTTTCGCTGATACCACCCTCTGATTCTGACTTTCTTTGGTTTATAAGTTTTACTTTTGTAAATATAGGTAAAATCTGCTTAATAAAACAAGTGTGTTGCCTAGATGAGCTGTTCTCTGAAAAACAGTTTGTGAGCTCCACTAGTTTGTCATCAGTGCTGGGTAGTAACGGATTACATGTAATCTGGATTACGTAATCAGATTCCAAAAATCAAGGACTTGTAATGAGATGATATTACCGTTTAAAATGCTGGTAATCAGATTACAGTTACTTTTTATTGATTACATGATTACTTATAATTCACACAATAGCAATAAATTATTAGTTGGAATCAGTAACGGACTACAGTTTGCAAGTAATCTACCCAGCACTGTTTGTGATAGCTCTAGTCATGTGACTAAAATCATGGATATTATTGGTTGCGCTACTTTATTCCCAATGTGATGGAGAAAAAAAACAGGCTGGTGTCTCAATGATGGCATGCGAAATGTGTGTTTTAGTCTGAAAAGTCAAAAGTCAAATTTGCCGAACAGTGGTAAACGTGGTCACACCTTTAGTGTGAACAGGCCTTAAAGTGATAGTTCACCTAAAAATGTACATTTTGTCATTATTTACTGATTTATTGTGAGATCTGCGAGATCAGCTAGAGCGTCTGACCAGGTGGCATTCAGTCTGTTCAGACACGTCTAGCATGTTGAACAGGTTTTAGCTTCATCACTCAAGGCTGTTGGAGACCACAGCTATCCGCAATTTATTCATCATTCACACTTGATATAATAAACAACTCCTCTTTTTCAGCAAGAAATGAAATGCATTTCACATTGAATAATTGAATCAGTATGTTGGAGGCCTCTTTTATGGATTCATACATTTAGGTGGAGAAACAGGATAAACAGTCATGGCACATTATTCAGACTGCAAAGAGAAAATTACCAGCCAGTCACCCTAACTAGTGGAACTTCTCGGCACTGAAATCCTGCTTTTACTCTCATATATTGTTTGTTTTATGGCCATTTCTGCACGCCGGTGCAAATTAGGAATTATTAGATAGCTTCAGCCTTTTCAAACAAGTAAACATAGCTCATACCTTTGTGGATAGGAAATGTGAAAACTTTAATTGAATAAAAGCTCTAAAAGCATACCTTGAATTCAGCTTGCCTTATTATTCAGCTAATCCTATTCATCACAGAAAGAACATATTTCAGTTAAAGCAAAAATAGGCTAGTCAATTGACGATGGACTAAATCTAAGATCTGCAAGCATACTAATCGTTTACTCACCCTCATGTCGTTCAAAACCTGATTTTTTATTTTTTTATTTTTTCCCTGTGGGGCATGAAATTAGTTATTTAGTTTAATAAATGAGTGCCGGGGCTGTCCAGCTCCAAAAGGTAGTGTATATATTTATTGTATATGACTTCTAAAGCCATATGATAGTGTGAGAAACCACCTGAAATTTTAAGTTGTTATTTCCTAAAAATCCTTTTGAAGCCTTTGAATTCTGGTTGAGATTCACTGTATTTACTGCTCTTATTTTTATTAAGGGCAAACGTCTGGTCTTCTTTGCTTTTAATATTAGCAAGAAGATAGCAGAGTCTGCTCTGTTTTGATGCACTATTGTCACCACTAATGAGGCAACCCGAATTAGTAGTGCTTCAGACTTGATTTTAATTGGTGGTTATGAGAAGGAAGTGTTTTTGTGTGTGTGTTTTTCTTTCAAATTGTAGAGAAAAAAAAATCAGGGCTAGTTTTCACATGGGGAAGCTGCTAGAAGAATCTATAAATCAGTAACTTTAATATTTTGAGTCAAAAGTTCAACTGCACAGTGGTTTTGTATGTTTGTTTCAGACTCTGAGTTCAGATAAGGACATTTTTGTGAGGCTTTCCACCTCTGAACAAAAATGTCAATATCATCATATATATTTTTAATAGCTGTAAACACAATACAACTACACTGGGATGTATTCAGGCAGGTGCCATATATTTTTTTTTTAACCAAAAGTTTGTACTGTGTTCTGAGGACGAGGATATTTTTCATAAGCGTCAGATGAGGTTGCCATGTATGTTATTCTATATATTCTGTATACTATGATACATAAATTAGGTACTGTGTAGAGACCAAAAGTCATTAAGACAATACAATAACATATACAATACATATATTTTTTGCTGATATTTTGTGTGTTACCCCCTTACCCCATATAGTGTGACAACATCCCCCACTAGCAGGACCAATTAAGTAAACTGCATATTTTTTGTGGACAATAGTGATAATGTTAATGTTCAGTAGCATATATATATATATATATATACAGTGGGGCAAATAAGTATTTAGTCAGCCACCAATTGTGCAAGTTCTTCCACTTAAAAAGATGAGAGAGGCCTTATATATATATATATATATATATATATATTTATTTATTGCTTTTCATTAGTAATTATTATTACTATGAATGTGATCAGTTTGCCACTCCATGCACTAATTTGCAGTATCTTTTAATTGATTTTTATTGATATTTGATTAGACTTGGGTTTCTGAGTGCATAGCCTTTAGTTGGCTTTTTTGTTAATATTCAGCAATATTCATGAATCTTAATAATGTTACAGGAATGTCTTGTTCAAAGCAAGGCATACGAATGACCCAGATTCCATGCAACTTTCACAATGTTATGAGGAAAGATGACATCACTGTAATTGTTAAATAGAAGTGGAATGTCTTATTGAGCTCAGATCACCAAACTTGATATTGTTGGCCATTGTGCCAAGTGTTTCTACACGTTCAGGCTGTTTACAATAAGTACAGTATTGGAGAATCTGAGCCTTACATTATTTTCACTGGCGTGGGACAAAAATGGCCTGAAGCCAGCGCTCTCTACATACTTTCGCACTGCATTGAAGTAACTAACCCCTGAGAGCCCAGAGCCAAATGTAAGCCAGCAAAGTCAACAAAATGGAGGAGAAACCCAAGATGGGCCAGAAAAAGACGTGTGAGCATGTGAGTGCTGGGAAGAGAGACCCGATCCAAACCCAGTAACATCCAGCCAGCATGAGGCAGTGGAGAAAATGCCAGCAAAGGAAATGAACAGCCGTTTCACTGGAGCGGTCAGGATGAATCTGATTTAACTTGCATGATACGCTTTTCATTCATTACATGGGGATAAGAGCGGTGGATCTGGGATTGGGCAGACGGCCAAACCGCTGGTTCTCACAGCCATTTTATAACTTAATATGCACCGTGAAACCTTACGAGAGATGTCTCGCATGCCACTGGCATCTGAACGTTCGCAAGCCTTCTTACTGTACGCTGGCTGGGTTTTTAATTACGGTTTTAGCTGAGGCCCAGTGCTGCGGTTTGCTCTGTTCAGCGTATTCAGCTTTGATGTAGCCGCAGACACTTATAAGACAGATGGATGCCAAGTCAGTTTGATCAGACCGAATCGTGCAACCATTTGACATTTTTGAAGGGTTTTGAGAATGTCGTCCGTCGGGACAGCAAGCATTTTTTGCTCTATCTGATCTGTTGCTGAAAATGAAACACGTAGTAAACTTAATGAGCCATCGCGTGCTGCGTCTGAACGTCTTAATGGGATTGACTGAACTTTCATTTCTTTGCAAAGATCAGAGGTCTTGACATCATTCTTGTGGTCAGTGTGAAATTAAACTTGACACTGTTACTTTCTTAATAAGTGTTGTTGGTCTTATTTTGCACGATTCGCCACAAAGCGTTTATTTAGAAAACAAATGTTTGTCTTTGTAAGCTCGGTCCAACTCTGAAATGGCAGCTATTTAGCCATTGTTTTAGGCTGTTATTGTAGAATATTTTACTGGTTTAAGCAGTAATTTAGGCAATTTTGGATAGTTTATCAAAAATCTCAACAGTTTTTCTGCATACAATGAAAGTTATTTTTAGCCCCAATTACTTTCATATTATGGACAAAAACATATGTAGACATTTTTTTGTACATTTATGTATCTATTTTGTATCTATTATGTATGATTATGTATCATAATAGATTTATGTATCTATTATGTATCACGACTGGGGCAGTCGTGGCCTAATTGATAGAGAGTCGGAGAGTCGTAACATGAAGGTCGCGGGTTCGAGTCTCAGGTCTGGCAGGGATTGTAGGTGGGGGGAGTGAATGACCAACGCTCTCCACCTTCAATACCACGACTGAGGTGAGACCCTTGAGCAAGGCACTGCTCCCCGGGCACCGCAGCACTGGCTGCCCACTGCTCCGGGTGTGTGTGTTTTCGGTGTGTGTGTGTTTGTTCACTACTCACTGCTGTGTGTGTGCACTTGGATGGGTTAAATGCAGAGCACAAATTCCAAGTATGGGAGACCATACTTGGCCACACATTATGTCCTTTCCTTTCCTTCCATCATTTCCTATTTTTTTCCCTGTATTTATTTATTTAGTTAGTTTTGTTTGAAATAACATGAGGGTGAGAACATGAGTATGATTTTTCATTTGTGTGTGAACTTTTGTGTGAATAGTAACATTAATGACAGGGTTACAGCAATAATAGTATATAATTATATAGTTATAGGATTGATGCTTTTGAGGGTGACTTGAACTTTTATCTCTATATATTGTGTGAGTTAGCTTATTGCCCTGCAGGTATAAGTTCATAAATGACTTGTTTCCTTGAACTACATTTTCATCCTCCTAACAATCTATTGCTTTCATTCCTGGTTTCATTCAGGTGTGTAACAATTTTCTTTTCACCATCCAATCCATTCATCATGGATAAAATACAAAAATATCCAGTTCCATTTGGAAATATGTCACATTATGGATGAAAATGGGTTGGGAATATGTTATTTAAAGTATTAAATTAAATTGAATCTAGAAATGGTTATTCTGTTAATATCGTCCGACTATAGTACAGTATGTGTGCTCACAGTTGTGGTTTGCTCTCCAGGGGCCCCGACAGGTAGTCATCTACAGGAAGACATGAGCCATTGGCAGCTTCATGCTCACTACTATCCTCCTCTACTGCGATCCGCTACCATCCGCAAGTTCATGGTTGGATATGAGATGCTAGCTAATGAACAGAGGGATCTTACACCTGAACAGGTATGCTTTCTTTTAAACATGTACAAAAAACGACAGTGATTTTACAAAAACATATTTTAGTCTTTGGTATTGGTTTTAGCTAGTTTTGATAAAACTGATTCTATCACAGCCCCAAACACAAAAATAATCGGTAACACATTAGTATAGGGACCAGTTCACACTATTAACTAGTTGCTTATTAGCATGGCTATTACTAACATATTGGCTGTTTACTACTTATAAAGCACATATTCTGCATGATCATAGTCTACATCCATAATCCTACTCAATACCTAAACTTAACAGTTATCTTACTAACTATTAATAAGCAGCAAATTAGGAGTTTATTGAGGCAAAAGTCAAAGATAATTAATTGTTATATTGAGAATTGGACCTTGAAATAAAGTGTGACCAAATAATCTAATAAATAGAGCAAATAAATGAATTAGAACAACAACAATAATAATTGAATTAATATAAATTAAATTATTAGAAGATTATATATATATATATATATATATATACATATATATAACCATATATACATAAAAGTATTTAATAAATCCCCATAAGGGTAAATCCAGGACAGAACAGGCAGGAGACACACGTAGGGATGTAGTAGACCGGACCACAAACAGAGAACAGAACACAACTAATATAGTGGAGCAAATGAGGATAATTAACGAGACACACCTGAACCAAATGACATAATCAAACGGAGACAGAAACTAGGTCAAACAGAGCACATGGGGAAGAAAACACAACAAAACAGGTCCATGATGTGTGACAGTTCGCCCCCCTCCCCAAAGGCGCGACCTCGCGCCACAGAGATAAAGTGAGGGACGGAGGGGGACTTAGGAGGAGGATAAAGGAGTGGATGTGGGATGGTGACAGGTGATGGCAAAGGGCCGGCAGGAAGGCAGGTAGGAGGAGGTTCAGGAGGTGGCCGGGTGACCGGGATGAGGACAACCAGGTGATAACAGAGGGAGGATCCAGAAGAGCCAGGGCGACAGAGAATCCGGAGGGCCAAGGTGAAGCAGATGGCTCCGGCGACCGAGGCGGAAGCGGGGATCCAGAAGGTGGAGCTGCAGGGAAGGAGGAGCCTGACAGAGCTGGAGGGATGAGGTGTAGCCGGAGGAGTGGAGTCCCGAGGCGGCGGATGGTCGATGACAGACCAAGGCAGAACCAGAGGGACGAGGGAGCCCGGCGGAGCTAGTGGACTGATGGGCCTCGATGGAGAGGAGGGAGCTAGGAGCCATGGTGGAGCTGCTAGGTCGACGGGCCGAGGCGGAGTCCAGGACTCAGAGGCTGGAGGCGGAGACAAGGGATGAGGGTGAGCAGAGGGGCTGCCAGGAGACAGCGGAGGCAATGGTGAGGACTGGTATAGAAGTGGTGGGAGAGGGAGGCTGGACAGGAGTTCAGGATGCTCAGGGGGATTAGAGACGATGTGTGCTGCCCACACACACCACAAGGCCACTCCCAACACCAAGCGCGCCAGTGACAGGGGAACGAACTCCGTGGTCATTTCAGGACAGATAGACAGTTTGAAATGGGCAGACATTTCAGGGCAGACAGAGAGTTCAGACGAAGGCGAGAGAAAAGCGGGCATGTCTGCATACAGTATATATATATACATATCATATTCCACTGAGCTCGGCTCACCCTCAGCCATGGTGCAGTGGGCGGAGCTTCCCGCCGCACTCTCGCTGTCCGTGACGCTCTCCCCCGTGGCAAGCACTGTAGCCAGCTCTCGCACCTGGTCTGACGTGTTGGGCTCTAGCTCCGGGGTGATCCTCAGCGCTGTCGCGACGGGCTCTGGCTCTCCGTCAGTGGTGGGCTCAGGCTATTGCTCCACACAGCGGGGTGATAGTGGACAGGGCTCTGGGTCGAGCGGCGTTCTAGATCAGGACTGGACGCTCTCCAGACACCGAACTATCGCCTCCCTCCAGTTCTGTCCTGTGGTGTCTGGGAGGTCGTCGGGGTGGTGGCAGTTAGCCCCGAACCTGAACAGGAACTTCAGTGTCTTGTCGTCAAAGGCGGTAGTGACGGCGGAACAGCTGAAGTCCCTTGCAAAATCTTCGATATCCTGGCTCCTCCGAGCCAGAGCAGTGAATCTCGCGGCGTGCTCCCTCAACAAAACAAAAATAAAAACTTTCAAAAACGAAAAACAAAACTCATGGGACTTTTAGGTCTGGTCTTCTGTCACGCTACGGTGAGATAAACGCACGAAGAAGATGAAGATGAATGCAAATAGTCTTTAATAAATCCACACAAGGCTAAATCCAGGACAGAACAGGCAGGAGACACACGTAGGGACATAGTAGACCGGACCACAAACAGAGAACAGAACACAACTAATATAGTGGAGCAAATATGACCCTGGACCACAAAACCAGTCATAAGGGTCCGTTTTTATAAATTGAGATTTATACATCATTTGAAAGCTGAATAAATAAGCTTTGTTAGGATAGGACAATATTTGGCTGAGATACAACTATTTGAAAATCTGGAATCTGAGGGTGCAAAAAATCTAAATACTGAGAAAATCGCCTTTAAAGTTGTCCAAATGAAGTCCTTAGCAATGCATATTACTAATCAAAAATTTACTTTTGATCTATTTACGGTAGGAAATTTACAAAATATTTTCATGGAACATGATCTTTACATAATATCCTAATGATTTTTGGCATAAAAGAAAAATCTATAATTTTGACCCATACAATGTATTTTTGGCTATTGCTACAAATATACCCGTGCTACTTATGACTGGCTTTGTGCTCCAGGGTCACAAATGAGGATAATTAACCAGACACACCTGAACCAAATGACATATTCAAACGGAGACAGAAACTAGGTCAAACAGCGCACATGGGGGAAGAAAACACAACAAAAGAAGGTCCATGAGGTGTGACAATAATACGTATTTTAACAACTCTTAGCAGGCTGTTGGCTCTCTAAAAAGTCATCAAATTTGACAGTATCGTTCAGATCACAGGTTTTAGTTTACAGGCTGGATTTGGGCTTGAGTTTAACACCCATGCAGACCTCTAAACTGTATTCTTCTCCTGACTCAGGAGTGTTTTTATCTATCTTTCCACTACATTCAGAGTTTCCACTAAGCTTAGCTCCCCAATTATTCCTAGTTCAACACCCATGTTGTAGATAACCTCCTTTTTTATTCTGGGATTTCATGACCTAACATTACTGTGCCCCGTTTCTTCAAAACCACTGGTTAGAAATGCCTTCAGAAGCGGCTTTCCTGACAACCGCTGCTGTCAGATTTTAAAATAATTGGTTAGTGAGGTGACTTTTGTTGTTTTCTGCCAGCGTTCAACAAAGGAGTCCTAAAGCACTGTTATAATGTCACGCTTAACAGTTTGTGACTCTTGCAGTGGTACTGAGCTACTGTCCTCAGTATCATTGGAAGTTAGTTTAATCCACAATGACTCATATTTCCAGCACTTCCTCACCCACTTCACCTGCTTCATTAATGTGTCCAGTCATGTGGGACTTACTTCCTCCGTCTAAGTGTTTCTGTCAGGCACACCCAGGCCAGGGTGACCCTGCTCGGTTTGATGCTGTCAAGCGAGGGAAGGGGAGCCGAGCAGAAACCAAGTACCCTATTTTCCTGTCTCCTTTTTCTCGTCTCAGCCGCCGAAGTGTGCAGCGCGTTACGCTCTTGATTGATGCCCATCTGGATGTATTGATTGATAGCTTGATCAAATTACGGCCTTCCATCCGGAGGTTGTCAGGACACTGGCCGTCAACGCTGATCTGTCACGCTGTGACTCTGTCCGTCGCATCGACTCGGGTCAAATCAGCGCCCCCCTCCCGACAGCGATCCAAGCCCTTTTCACACTCCTCGTAAACCCATTTCCCCCCAGCTTGTCCACCTGAATGTAAAATTTATCAGCAGGCGGTGAGCGTTATCAGCCCTAAACCAGGACATCTGTTTTTCTCAGAGCTAAACGAGTGAGAATGGTTTGGACTGCGATAAATTGGGCTTGGTTATCTGTCGACCTGACCTCTGTCTGCTGAGTTGGTAGCGAGTTCAAAGCCAAGTTAGCATTTGAGCACACTAAAGTGACCAGACCCCATTTTACAAGCCAGTGAAGGTACAGTTTGTCTCAATTATTAGTCCTAGCTGTGATTCAGTAGTCGGGGCAAATGATATTTGTGATATATTTTACCTCATAAAACTATATCGATATTGCTACACCAAGTTCTGCATTAGTATTTTTGGGAAAAAGAGATTCAAGTCAATGAGATGATGAAATGTGTTGTGGAAGTACTTTTCCTTACTGTTTTAATTTGGCCATCATCCAAACTATATATAACTGGTTCCTCGTGTTGGCCGGCTGCTCGGAGAAACAGTAGTGTCTTTGACAGTGAAATTGTAGCTTCCTTCTGAAGTGTCAGACATTGATTTGGAAGTGGTCTATTACTGACAGACATAGAGAAATTTTAGCTTGAGCCACTGATTAAATAATATGCTTTGAAATGTTGGTAGCACCAATTCTCACTAAAACCTAGTTGCTTATTAGCATGCATATTACTAGCATATATGTCGGTTTAATATTATTAGGCACATATTACTGAATTATTCTGCATGACCATATTTGAGATATTTTACACTCTTATTCCTACCCCATACCTAAACTTAACAACTATCTTACTAACTATAAATAAGCAGCAAATTAGGAGCTTACTGAGGCAAAAGTGGTAGTTAATAGTTAGCTAATAGTGAGAATTGCACCCTAAACTAAAGTGTGACCGAAACATATTCTGTTACCTGCAGACTTGATAGAAAATATAGTGTTATATTTTACAATTATTTGTAGGTGCAAATATTTGTATTTTCATGAAAATTTTGGTCAACTGGTCAATCGACCATCCTCAGACTTTTTGACAGTTTGTAAATGACAGCGCAATCAATCAATCAATCAAAACATTTGAAAGGAATAATCACCCAAATATGAATATTTTGTGTTTCTTAACTTTTTGCTCTAAACCCGTATGATTTTCTTTCCTCTGTGTTACACTAAAACGTTATTTAACATTAAAATTAATCTGTTCTTTACACAAAACCATTATGTGACTTCTGAAAAATGTGCATGAGTTTTATACAGTGTTATTTTAGTATCATTTATATACTGTCATTGTATTTGTTAATATTTTGAATTAGCATGTATTTTTATATTTCAGTTTTCTTTTTAATTTCAGTTGAAGTTTTAATACTTTTTAATATCTCTATTTAGCGTTTATTTATATCTATTTCAGTACATCAATTTAAACGTTTTTTTTTCAGTACATTGCCTAAGCAACAGTTCTAATTTTAATTAATTTATTTTTCTTCTAATATTTATATTTAAATTTATTTCAGCTTTATTTTAAATAATTATCCTTAATAGTTTTAGTTAACAATGACAACATTTTTCTCATATGTTCTACCATTATGGCGATTTATTTTCTCTTCCTCTGTATGCAGGGTCAGTCATCTACTTTTGTGTTTAATGAAAGAAAACACGTCATATGAGCTTGGAGCGGTAATTTAATGATGGCAGTATTCTATTTTTTGTTTCAGCCATATAGTCTCATTAGGACAGATTTCACCACTGCTGTCAAAACACACTCATGTATGCCACCACTCACTATATGGCCATAATTCCAACTGGTTCCTAGCATGCACAAGCACATATTCATATACCGGTTATTGCCAAGCATTACTGACTCTTAGCAGGGACGCTAAGGGTAATGCAATGGGCGCTTTTTTATCTCCGGCACTCAAACGTCATGACTGAACGGTTTTCGTTTGGAATATCGTGCTGAACCTCTGGGGTGATTTAATGTGCTGTAACATTTATTATGGCTTTATGGATGCGGCACTCCTATGGCGAGCCCAGCTGCCAGTGCTTATGAGACTGACCTCTCACTCAACGGCGGCAGCAGCCTCCATCAGCCCGTGCCGCAGCGGCGGTTGAGGAGGAATTAAAGAGTGTTGTGGCTGAGAGATTGGATCAGGAAGTGACACAGCCGCTAGGACGTTTAATCACACCCCTGCAGGGACTTATCTCAGGAGAGAGTGGGCGACTGGTGGCTCCTCTGCTGTGAGCGCTAGACATGAATGCAGAGTCTGCCGTCGCTGGAGGGTCTGGGTCACACTGTGTGTTTTTCAGAATGTGCTTTCACAGCAATCTGCCTTTTTGCTACAGCTTTATTTTTCAAATGTATGTCTCTATCCCAGCAAATTGTGTGGATGTTTATTTGGTCCAAGCGCTTCTGGAGAACTGTGTAAGGAAGACTGGCGCTAGTTGTCACACTTTTTACTCCAGGAGATATTTCTCAGCTCAGGTTTATTATACAAAGTCTTCGAAGTTTCTGTGTAGGCACATACTGTATCTGAAGATCTACAAAAAGCTGTCACCTTTTATGCAACCGTTATTGCCTACAGCTCATTAAACATGTTGACATTGTTTTTGGGCCATTTTGTCACAATGGAATCTAGATATTATAGATTTTAGTAAATGTTATTTACAAAATAAAAAAGTTTATATTTAATGCATTTTAGGATCATTCAATGAATTCAGTACTTTAACAAATAATATTTTTAATTACTTCCTTTTCATTTTATATTTGAAACTGCATTACTGTTTAGGATTGGAATCATTAAGTAAGATTGATTGATTGATTGACTGATTGACAAAAATATTACTTTTATTCAGTAGGAATGTATTAAAGTGATCAAAAGTGACATTAAAGACATTTATATTGTAACAAAGACAATTATATTTCAAATAAATTTAGTTCTTTTGACATTTCTATTCATCCAAGAATAGAGAGATTGTACATTGGAATGATATTTCACAATATTGCTATTTTGGCTTTATTTTTGATAAACTAAATGCAGCCTTGGTTAGCAGAAGAGACATGCTGTAATGTACAGTATGTGTTAATTGTTCACTCATTCAGAATCTTCTCTGTTTCTTTTCTGTCTTTTTCTCCCCGTTACTCATTTTCGCAGGCTGCAGAGCAGTTAAGGAAGCTCGGAGAGGAACATTATAAGATGAAAAAAAACTGAAGGTGATGGAGGGATGGAGAACTAAAAGAGTGTGACCTGTTGGCCACCTTCTGTGTCCAACTGTCAGATAATGAGAACATAAAACTGTGAGAAACAGATGGAGCTGTAAGATGACTCATCTGTTTTAGTGCAAATAGTTTAAAATTTGAACTAACTTCCTTTTGAAACACTTTTTGGTCTTTTCATTCGTTAGAAGTTAAAATTGGCTCCCAAGTTTTTGTTCAGGGCCCTAAAGGCCAAATCATGTGAGCTGGTAATTGCTTAGTTGAGAGCCAAAATGATTTTTCAGAAAAGTTTGAAATGATAAGTTGTAATCTTGTGTGCTTTAAAAAAAAAAGTTTAATAAAGTTCTTCCTTTTTGGCTAAATTAATTTGGCAAAGAAAACATTGAAAACAAGCTTCCATAAATTTTTTTTTTTTTTTTAATGTCCTTGGAAACTGCTGGAAAAGATTTCAACAAGTGAAAAAAAATTGTTGAATTGAAGACACTCTGGCGATGCTCTAGCAACCATAATTCATAAACAACCAAACATACCCTAGAAATTGCATAGTCACACCCAAACTCTCTAACAACTACCATGTAACTACTCAAAACACCAGAAACCATGTGTCAACCTATTAGCAACTACTCAGAACATCCCAGAAACACTCTCGAAACAACCCAGAACACCCTAGCAACCATAGTACCAGAATACCCTAGAAACTATTCACTGTAGCCTAGATTTTCCCTAGCAAGCCACTGTAAACACTGCATCAGCTGCCTAGCAACATATCAGAAACCACTCTAACAATACCTTAACATCCTAGCCACCACCTAAAAACACCCTATAAACCACACCTATACCAACCGAGACACAGCCTAGCATCAACCTACAACTTACTTTAGCAACCGTCTAATAACTCCCAGATAACACTGCCTGAAACTACTCTAACAACCACTGAACAGCCTAGCAACAGCCTAAAATGTCTTAGGACTAGGGCTGTGAATCTTTGGATAGACAGCGAATCGATTCGATTCACGATTCATAGGTTTTCGATTCGATTCAAGAACAATTTTTGCGAATTCAGAACGATTTGATTCGATTCACAATTACATTCGATTCAATGAACGATTCGATTCTGCATTCTTTAAGTGCATTCACATGATTATTTAAATGCTTCGCCTAAATTCTTTAAATGCTTAGTCAGGGGGAAAATTACACAGCAACCTTTATGGTTACAGAACCATAGGTTAGAGAGAGAAAAGAAAACACTTTTGTCCATTGTTAGATGCTAGTTTAATGATGCTCTGTCATGACATGGCATATGTAGAAATTTATGTAAGCCATAAATTGATAAAACCTCTGATACACTGCAATGTCTGAACTGTCCTGAGCGCATCCTGAGCGCGTCCTCGACAGCCGGCACGTGACATGTCTTCTTCTTCTTCTTCTTGCTTTACTGCGAATCACAGACTTATAAGTGCATTACCACCACCTATCTCTCAGGACAGTGCAGACATTGCAGTGCATCAGACGTAAAAAACTATATAAATACTGTTCAGTTTCTTGCACAGACCGATCGTTTCATGTCTTTACACATCAATGTATCATCACGAGCCGCAGGGTTTAATTTGGTTTTGTTTGTGTATGTTTTTTTTTACTATCAAAGCCATGATTCCCATCCACTTACATTATAAGACTGACAGACTGCAACAGTTTGAGTTAAAAATCTTCGTTTGTGTTCTACTAAAGATTCACCTACATCTTGGATGCCCTGGGAGTAAGCAGATAAACATAAAATTTTCATTTTTGGGTGAACTATCCCTTTAACAACCAATCAGTATGTTCTAATACTGCCATAACAACCACATATAACACTGTATCAACTGCCTAGCAACACACTTGATATCACCTTTAAAACCACTGAACACCCTACTAACCACCTAACAAAACCATACAACATCTTAGCCACCACCTAAAGTACCAGAATATCCTAGCAAACATCTAGGAACACTACCAACAATCCAGTACATCACAGCAACCACCTAGAACACTGTAAAAACTGCCTAGCAACACCATAGAAACCCCCCGAACAACCACAGAACACCTTAGCAGCCATCCACTAAAACAACACCTTAAAACATCTTAGCCACCACTTAAAGCTACACTATAAATCACCTTGCCTATAACAACCTAGAAATGACTTAGCAACCACTTTCAACTTACCAACTGTCTAACACTTCCCAGGTAACTGTACAAAACACCCTAGGTATCATATATAAACACCTTAGTAACCACTCAGAACACGCTAGAAAATACCTCGAAACACTCTTGCAATTACTCATAAGACTCTAGCAACTTCAGTACCAGATTATATTAACAACTTTCTAAGAACAATAGCAACCATCCAGTACATTCTAGCAATGCCCTAGCAACCACAGAGAACACTGTATCAACTGCCTAGCAACACACTTAATACTGCCCTACCAATCACTGAACAAACTAGCAACCGTCTGACAACACCTTACAACATCTTACACCACCACCTAAAAGCACAGTATAAACCACATAGCCTGTAACAACCTACAAATGACCTAGCAACCATTTTAAAATTAGCAGCGGTCTAACAATTCCCAGGCAGCTGCACAAAACACCCTAGATACCACATATCAACAGCTTAGGGACCATTCAGAGCACCCTAGCAACTACAGTACCAGAATATTCCAGCAACCATCCAGTACATTACAACCACTGAACATCTTAGCAACCACCTAACAACACCATACAACATCTTAGCCACTACCTAAAATACCAGAATATCATAGCAACTGTCTAAGAACAGTAGCAACTATCCAGTACATCAAAGCAACCACCTAGTAATATCCTAACAACCACCTAGAACACTGTATCAACTGCCTAGCATCACCCTAGAAACCACCTTAACAACCGCAGAACACCCTAGCAACCATCTCCTGTAACAATACCTTAAAACATCTTAGCCACCACTTAAAGCCACAGTATAAATCACCTATAACAACCTAGAAATGACCTAGCAACCACTTTTAACCACAACCACTCTCAAAGCAAAACTCCCTAGACACCATATATCAACACCTTAGCACTGATTTAGAACTTTCAAAGCACTGCCTTGAAACACTCTAGCAACACCCCAGAACACCCTAGCAACTACATTTCCAGAAAATCCTAGCAGCCATCTAAGAACACTAGCAACCATCCAGTGCATCCTAGCACTGAATCAACTTCCTAGCAACACACTTAATACTGCCCCACCAATCACTGAACACACAAGCAACCGTCTGACAACATCTTAGCCACCACCTAAATTCACAATATAAACCATATAGCCTATAACAACCTAGACATGACCTAGCAACCACATACAACAGCTAAAACACCCAGCAACTGTCTAAAACACCCTAGAAACCATATATTAACAACTTAGAAAGCACATAGAACACTCTAGCAAATACCTAGAAACACTCTAACAACAACTCAGAACACCATAGCAAGAATATTCAGTGCCAGAATATTCTAGCAACCATCTAAGAAACAATCCAGTACATCATAGCAACCACCTACAACACCGTAACAACTGGCTAGCAACACTCTAGAAACCACCCTAGCAACCACCTACTCTAAAGCCTTAGAACATCTTATCCACCATTTCAATATAAACCACCTTGCTTATACTGTAACAACCTAGAAATGACCTTGCAATCCCCAACTGTCTAACAGCTTAAAAAACCAAAACACCCTAGAAACCATATAACAACACCTTAGCAACAACCCAGAACATCCAAACAACTGCAGTACTACCAAAATACCCTAGCAACCATCTAAGAACACTAGAAGCCATCCAGTACAGCCAACACTGTATCAACTGCCTGCAAACACTCTAGAAACCACCGTAACAACCACAGAACACCCTAGCAACCATCTAAAGACAGCCTAGAAATTACATAGCTACCTCCTACAACATAGCAACGGTCAAACAACTGCCAGAAAACTACCAAAAACACCTTAGAAATCATATATAAACACCTTAGCAACAACCAAGAACATCCAAACAGCTACATTACCAGAATATCCTAGCAACTTTCTACGAACACTAATAGCCATCCAATACAACTCAATAGAACACTGTATCAGCTGCCTGCAACCACAAAACACCCTTAGCAACCATCTAATACCACCTTAAAACACTCTAAAAAAAAATACATGCCGTGCCTAACAACCTAGAAATGACCTAGCTACCACCTACAACTTAACAACTGTCTAACAACTCCCAGACAACTGCACAAAACACCCTAGAAACCATTTATCAACACCTTAGCAACCACATAGATTAGCCCAGAATCAAGATGACAAGTTTTGCACAGACAAGCATTTCTTCTGAGAACATAAAATCCAGTTAAATGTTCCTTTATTCATTACTAGCTGGAACTTTCTCCAGTACATACTGACAATTTCCAGCTTGGCTTTCTGCAGCCGTTAAAACGGAAAAAGTGTAATTGACGGCCTCGGGGCAGCTTGCTTAATGAGGGAAATGTGTTCAACGGATCAGTTTTCCTTTTCCTGCGCCGCACCTGCCGGGCTGCAGTTCCGTTTACGCCGGCGTGCAAATGGCTGACATTGAGAGGCGAAACGTTTTTCTTGTCAAGCCAATTTACAGTGGCATAACAGAAGGTCTCTCTCCCACGCCAGGTGCTCCATCATTCTCTCTGTCAGTGATTCTCAGTGTACTTAAGAACGTGGTAAGAGTGGGCCCAGTCTGTCTGTGGCGCCATCCATCTGTTCAGGTGTCTGTTGTCATAGGGAACGAGGGGTTGCGATCGTTCAGAGCAGACGCCGGGGATGGATGAGCTCTTCAACATGCGGCGGTGAAATCATGAATCATAAAGGAAACTAAATTTGGGTTCGCTGTGCTTTTGTTGTCGTAACACTGGAAAGGAAGTTCACAGAAAACTGACCCCTTCACGTTGGCTGCATTTACACTGCAAGGTCTAATGCACAGATCCCACATTCTGACATTATTTCCCCCCCATCTGTTTACGTTCACTTACATAGCCGTAACAGACTGTGTTTACACATTAATACCCAGTCAGAGCATGCAACGCTGCGCTGCCCAAATTGATCTACACTGTGCTTTCACTGGTTCGCAAAATCAATTCTTTCAGTGCTGTCCAGTGGGCTCATGTAAATACTGGTGTGTGCCGTTTAGTTTAGACAAGCATTGCTGTTTTGTCGCTCCTTTGGACCATAAATCGATCAATGGCAATTTTTTTTAATCCACATCAAATGGAACATGCATACAAT